TCAAGTCCAAAACCTGTTTATGGTGATTTTATGCACACAGCTCTTGCATCATATGGTGGTCATATTTTGATACCTCAATGTTCATCAGATAATTCAGTTGGAGGGTGTTTGACTCAAAACGATAAAAGCGTGTATCAGGTACGAGATTCATTTGTACTATTGCTTCGTGGAATTCTTGCCTCTGGAGTTATGGCAAGACGAATTTTGTTAGCAGGTGAAGGTATAGAAATGCCAGTCCAAAATTTGGTTAAAGGAGTAATTGGAGAGAAATTAGTGTTTGGAAAAGGATATTGGGTTACTATAATTGTATTGAGTGCTCTATTGATTATATTAGGTTTTATTGAATTAAGTGTGAGTGATAGTGAGAGTGAGAGTGAGAATGAGAATGATACGAATGAGAATAATATACTTGAAAACTCCTCATCATCAAATAGCTCAGAATCCAGATGATCTCCTATTTTCTACCTGCATAAAATGTTTAGCATTTAGCTTTTCGTAAATTTATTACCACATTTGATATGAATAGGGTATTTATATTATCTTTATTATCTTTATTTTTTAGTTTAGCCTATCAATTAACAAAGTTGTATTAAAATATGTATATTTTTAAATAAAGAATAAAGAATATATAATTATGATATTCTGCGGTTTAATATAATTATTTGATTAAAACGGAAGTAACTCATTAGAGCATTGCTTGCTAATGACGTAAAAATTAAAAGATTAGATAGCTCCGAAATGCAAAAAAATAAAAAAAATTAAGATACGACCGCAGCGGCGATCCTAAAAAAAAATTTAAAAAAAAATTTTACCTATGCACACTGACCCGAAGGAAATTACCTAACAAAAAAAATGAAAAGAGCTAAAAAAGAAAAAATTTATTTATGGATCCAATCCAAAGAGGAACCTGAAAAAAAGAAAAGTGCGCAAGATTTTTTTTGGAAAATCGTTTAATCGCTGCGATTCCTAAAAAATCCACACAATATCAGATATATATCGAATGGTTACATTTTACAAGTAACAGAAAAATTATTTGGTTATTATACTAAATTTTCTAGTGAAAGAATACATAAGAAAGTCTAATCGTATTATAACTTTGTTTCATGACCTTCAAAGGAAATCTTAAATCACACAGGAAATTGAGCTAGAAAATCGGCAACCAGTTATGCAACAAAAGCACTTTGAACCAGATAACTTGATATAATGACCTCCTAATCGATTTTAAGGACTACTAATTCAACATTATCATTGACAATTTCTTAACAGAAAATAAAACTTGAAACGGTCGGTCAACGGTCGGTCAAAATCCTTTGACCGACCGACCGGTTAACTGACCGATTTTAACTGATAGTAAAATATTGAGCAGTTTTGGCTTACAGCTATTTGCAAAAATAACAGACCACCCAATTCATTTTTACTCCAAAGTGTCATACGCATTCATACGCAGTCATACGCATAAGATTATTACTGATCGGCAATAATTCGGGCCAACTTATATTTGCAGCCCGAATTATAATTATTGATCGGCCGTAATTTTGGACCAATTATTCTTTCGTTCCAAATTGGAAATTTTATGTATTACCTTATCAATAAATATACAAATATAAATTTTCGTTTTCGTTACAGTTTGACAAATTATCTTCACATGTTCGCTGGCAAATAATTGAAAAGTCATTAGCAGGTTTGTCAGAACTTCAAATTGCTAAACATTTAGGAGTTAGCAAATCAACTATCACCGTACTTGTCACCATTTTAAAAAGTATGGATGTGTAGAAAACTTTTCATTGTTACGTGGAAGACCAAGAATTTTTGGGTCAATGATATGAAATATCTTGAAACACTACTTAAAGAAAAAGTAAATTGGTATATTTGGGAACTCCATCAGAAATGGAACTTTGGTTAGGACAAATATTAACCTTAGTGTAATATGGAGAACAGTATATCGCCAAGCAAACAAGTATTATATATTTATAATATTCATAATTATATCATTATTTTTAATTTTTTATTATTTTGACACATGTTCTAAAGTTACGCAAAAGATCTTTTTATATGTGTATACAATTTTTTGATACAACCCACATTTATGAAACGAAACCTAAGTAGTACATGTACATTGATAAAACTAAAATTTTAAATCGGTATGGCGTAATGTAATTATATTTGGAAAGGATATTTCATTTAATATTAATCGAAATTGTAGTAAATAGTTTCTTTCAACTGCTTAAAGATGCATGTGATTATAATATTATTATCAAAGTTGAAGTGTACTACTCGAATACAAAAAAATTTTATCCACATTCTAATACCGCCCTCCATATTTTATTCTACACTTTCACAGAATTGGTTATAACGATTAATTTACACGGCCACATATGATAATTATAGAGTAATTTGCAACAGCGAAAGTTTAATTAACTGAACCGGATAATTATAACGTAATTTCACGGATAATCGCCGATAACTCCACAGTTACTATGAGTAATGCATTGATTGGTGGATTTTGCCACTTCGTAACCCGTGAAGTTACTACATGTATCAATAACATTAATAAACTAAATATATATCCCATTATTTTTGAAAATATGATTGGCACGCTTATTCTGAACAAACAATAATCCTTGATATTATTGTTGAATACTATTAATTACTTCTTGATGATTAAAATTTGCAAGAGCTTTTGGTTGCAAAAAATACTAGATGATAAAACAAATTTTGATGAAGTATTTCGACTCGGAAATGCAACAATAAAAAGCTCCAAGATTATTGTTTAATAATAGATGTGATAATACTAAACCTTTTTAATTCTAGATAAAAAGTAGTATACTGGGAAACTTAAATAGGAGGTTTGTAAATTGACGAAAAATAAAGGCGTGAAAAATTTGATTAATCGGATTATTAAGGACTTTTCGTGCATTATAAATACATTGAACCAATTTATTACACATATTTTGTTCTTCATTCAAGAAGATTTGGTCTTTTAGGAAGATGTTACCTCAACGATATTATGTTCGCAATATTATAATAAATATTTGTTTTATAGTATTACTAGGAAACGGGGACAGTTGGAACGTCCGAAGCGTTAATTGCAATGTAAACGTAGCACAAATCAAAGCGTATCACAGAAAACAATAAGTAACACAAAATTTCAAATAACCAACAGCAATAGATAATCTGATCTTTTTTTTTTTTTACAAACACAATTACAAAACGATTTCAAAAGCAAACTTTAAACGGAAAAAAAAGAGTAATATTAAAAAGCTTGTCACAATTAAAATAGTGTATTTTATTATTTCAATACAATAATCAACGTTGCAATAAAATAAAGCTTTGCACAATAAAAATAAAAAGAAATCAATCTTTAAAACACGCGTATAGCGTAGATAAAAAGGAAATAAACAAAAAATCAATTAAAACGTAAATGCGACGTGTGACACAAAAAAAACAAAAACAATTGGACGATCGCGCAGCATGACAGACACACATTGCATCACCCACACTCGTCTTTTAATGTCCTTCAGCTACGCTTCGGACAAATAATTGATTAATTATTTAATTTATTTATTTATTTATTATATAATTAAATAAATTAAATATGTAAGGTTTCATGTTTCGAATGTTCAATTTAAAAGAAAAGTTCCTTTTGATTAAATCATTGATAAATGCTGTGCATAATAAGTAATTAGCTTCTATAATTTGTGGTTGTAATCTTAGTCGAAATTATTTCTTAAATTTCAAGGTCTACAACAAAAAATTATTTGGCTTAAACCGCAAAGTTTTATTATTTTTTAGAATGATGAAAAGGATTTGAAAATTAGCTAAAAGAAATGAATGTATCGATGCAATTATATGATAATGCAAATATTTAAATAGTCATGGTATTTTCAATAAGCAATATGATTGGTGAAATGAAATTTTGCTAAGCAAAATACTAATTGAAAATACCAGTAAGGTGCGCGTTTGTGCTGCAGTTATGAGGTTACGTAGATCTTAGTAACTGGTTTATGGCATTGTAACATAATAAATGCTTTGTTGCAAATGCCCGATAATATTGACTTTTCTCGGACGTTACCTAAGTATGCCTTTAGTTAGTCCTCATGAACAGATACACCCTTTGTTACTTTCAATCATTTATGACTTTATCCATTATATTGAAATTCATAGGCAATAAAAAATCTCCCACACCGCACCATTAAACTACGTGTTCATAGGTTGTGAACCATCACATATTTATTATTAAAGACATACATAATTCCTTCTTTCTTCTCTTCAAATATTTTAACTATTACCAAAAAGTCTTACACAACACATGACATCCATTAAACAATAGAAAACTAACAGCGATAAATATTGATAAACCTAAAGCGATTACTTCTTTTCAAAATATATGTTACATTATATTGAATTTATAGAAACTCTATCATTACTTTTTAACAACACTAAAGACTTCAATTTTTTCAATAATTAAACTAACATTATCCCAAACATTATTCTAATTTCCAACGTTACGAAGATAAATTTTTTGTCCTTTCATAGATAAATTATTACCAAAGTTAAAAAATTCCTTATTGCAATGCTCATAAACTGATCTTTGCGTATTAAACACTCTACCCATTCGCATATTATGTGTTACTTGATCATTTTCAAAAGAAAAGATAAAACTGTCCGAAGAAAGTAACCATTGACCATCTCTTAATGAATATCCAATCGGATTATACCCTCCATAGATCTTTTTTGATGGAAGCTTTATAAGTACAACAAATGGTCCTTGCCGATTACATCTAATGTGAAATGTCCTACAATCAAGTGCACCCAGGCCGCTTGAATAAATCATATTAAACCTATATTTATTATTAAATGAATAAACATTCGAATCTAGTTTCTCAATCCAATTAGCAATAATAGACGCAAACTTTGGCTTAATTATTGTTGATGCTAGTTTTCCCACGCGAGACGGCAAGATCGCCGCTTTCTTTAAGATCTCTTTACAATAAAATTCTACGATCTTTTCATATTTCTGACTTGAAATGATAGCCTTATAAGGACGTACTTTATCAAAAAAATCGGCGGGAGAAATTTCCGTAAACCGAATAAGGGGTATGAAGTGATTTAACGTTTCCTTCAATGCCTCAAAATTCTCTTGATCCCATTTTGCTAAATCATTCTTTATCACCAATTGGGGAGTCCGTTCAATGCCCCACTTGATTAAACAATCCCAAGCATCAATTTCTCTAATACATAGATCATCTCTTTTAAGCAAATTTAAAAAGGTGTCTTTATCTAACTATAAAAAAATTTTCGAGGTGATAAATTCTTTTGGGTCCTCTGATATTAAATCAAGACAATGATCTTGCAGTTTTTTGCATCTAGAAATTTTAAATACAGCATAAAAAACTTGCATGAAATTCTGTCGAACCCAACTAGTTTGTTCTTTAATCAAGTAATCTTGGACATGTTTGAATATTTCTTCAAGCAGTAATTCGTCAGATGCGATTAATAATCCGAAAGTATCTTCTCCTGACAGCTTTGTTAAATTAAGTTCTCCCGTGTATATGGACCTTAAAGAAAAAAGATATAAACGTTTTGGTAATCATACATAAACAAATAATATAGTTATTTATTTTAACTTACTTTAAAATAACTTCAAAGATTGTTGGAGCAATATTTGGTTTATTATACATGATCATACCGTTCTCCTTTATGATCCATTCAGTCGAAAAGGCTCCTTTAAAGTATTGTGAACGAGCCCGTAAAATAACTGAATGAGCACGAAATTCTTTCGAATTTTGACCTTCACCAACTCGAATAATAACGTTGAAATCTTCAGAGTCATTTAAAAGCAATGAAAGATCTTTTGAAAGATCGGAATGTAGAATGAAAGTCATGTTCAAAGTAATTAAGAAATTTTTTAAAGATGAAGTAGAATTTTTATATATTTATTAAATAATAAAAAGTATTAATCATTACATTTCACCTTTTACGTCATTGTATTACAAAATATGCACAAATAAAAATCGTTTCAAAACCCGATTAAAAATTCAGACTTTATATCAAATAAAAAAGCATTTCCACTTGCCAAATAACATACAACAAATTTACAACTTTCAAAATAATTTCTTTGTAAATCACCAAGGAAGTTTTTATATATAAACAACACAACCATTTTATTTATTTATTTATTTTTTTTTTTGGTAATTTTATAGATCTTCAAAACTTTTAACGTACGAAAAATTTTGATAATCCAAATATCTTAATTCTGCAAATATCTTAAAAAACGTCCGTCTTTTCTTTATAAATCAAATTCTCGCTTGAATGATGGAAAATGATAAGTGCGACTAGACTTACAAAAACAGAATTTATACATAAAAATAATCACAAGTTTTGTGAACAGGCTCTACATAGGTAAAAATAATGAATTTTAATTACCAAAGATTTTAAATCTTGTTATAAAAATTGTTCCACTATAGTGCTTAATCTTAATTAAAAAATTTTTCACGAAAAAAAAGTCTGATATAAAAATAAAAAGCTATTTTTTCTTATTTTGTTCAATAAAAGTCAACAGTATTTTTCAATTAATTATTGATCTATAATAGAAATATAATGTTTCAAAGATCAAAATAATTGCAATTTAACAAAATAATATCTTATAACCAAGAAACGACATGAACATGTCATATGAGTATATTTATTTTCAATTCTGCATGTTATCCTCCAAAGATTGCATGTGGAAGAAGAGACAGAGCGAGCGCGAGTTCCGCGAGTGTGAGAAAAAGAACTTGTGAGTATCAAGAGCAAGAAAATAAAAAGAGTAAGACGAGAGAAAGTTTGAGCGAGAGTGTATGCAATAGGTTGCAGGTTATTTGTGACGTGCATCTAAAAATAGAAGTAATTTTAACAGCTAAGACATGACTTTATTAAACATACATATAATAAAATTATGCGTAATGAATGATTCATCAGTAACACAGAAATTTTTAATGTCGTATGGTTTGCGTAATATATTTTCCAAAGTATAGCTTTTTCTTTAAAATACTCGTATTTTCTTTTACTTTTTTTTTCGCACTTATTGCTAATAAGATACAGTGTTATAAAAAGTTACACTAAACATGTTTTCGAAAAAGATCTAGTCAAATTGTCTGTTTTGTTTTTAAAAGTAAAATAAAAAATAAAAAATAATGTTTCTAATGAATTAAACCAAACCAATTTGTTTTTTTTTTGAAATTGAAGAAATTAAAATTGAACTAATAACGGTGTTGGTATTAAATTATTTATTGGTTTGAAATTTTTGATGAAAATTCATTGAATAATAACTTAGGGCTTGCAGTATCTCCAAACTTAAGAATTCTTAAATCAATAAAAGGGCAGGAAAATTTTGTAATTTTTAAAATAAAGACTATATAATTCCCAACACAGATTTCAAATCTTACTAAAGATTCGAAGACTTATAATTATTCCCATCCTCTCCGATAAATCCAAGATTTAAGATGCTGTACCCGCAAAACGGAAATTTTTTAGAATAAAAAATTATCAAATTGTTGAACCTATAAATGGTAAACTATTTTATTATATAAAAATAAAATCTACTTTAAAAAAAGAGCTTAGTTCCGTAAGCTTAATAGGTATTCTTAAGCAATGGTTGGTTCATATCCACCTTATAGGCTGCGGGTAATTTTATATCGCTTCGCTTAAAATTAAAAGTTGTATAATTGTCTTATTATTGACAATAAGGAAGTAAGAATTTTTTTAATCTGATGGGTCAATTTCAAAGTTAGCTAGCGTTAGGACTGAAATTTTTATTCACCAACGAGATTAATTAATTATAATTTGAGATAAAGTGCATTTGTTCTCTACAAAATGTGATGGAGAGAAGAATCTTAATAAATTTTTCAGCAAAATTTGATTATTTACTACCAAGGTTTTCTTAGAAACCAAACAGAAACATTAAAAGCATGTTAATTTTAAGATACATAACCGTTCCTTAAAATTACATTTTTTCCATCATTTTTTCTGACTTTTCAACAACATAAAATGAATTAATAGGTCTGTTAGCATAATAAAGAAAATATAATAAGTAATCCTAATAAATACTTTTTAAAAAAAATTCATCATTTCATATTATTATTATAACATTTCATCACTAGCATTCATGAGATCAGAAAAAGTACATTGAATTGCTTGTATTTCGTAAGATCCATTACATTTTACATTCTGTTAGAAGTCATCGCCTAATAATAATGTCAAGTCGTTTTACAGAGCCGTGATGTTACACATAAAAGCTATTCGTAAAGATTGTATATTAATTCCATAAACGAAACCTATAATAGCGATGCAAACATTCCTGCTGTTTCATTAAAAATTCTTTTATGATACTACAAATTTGGCACAAAAGAGTAATTACAGTAAGTCCTGCAGTTGAAATACAGATTTTTAGTTGTTAATTTTTGTTCCCCACTAAATTCTTAAGATTGCCAACTATTTATATATAAAATCTTTCAAGAGCTCAATTACATTATTATTCACTTTAATATGAATTTTGAAACTACTTATGTAATCTTAAATCTTGTCGGAGTAGTGAAGACTCTAATATAAATGTGACCTATTTTTCCGAGAAAAAAAAAACCTGGTATTTATTATTGGAAATTGAGACCAGTTAGGTCTAGCCGTTTTATAATAAATATAAAAACGATTGTAAGTAGATTTTTAATTTCTAAAAATAAAAAAAATTATTATATTACTTTTGTTAAGTATAGCATTGGATAATTCTGGTGAACTAGACTTTTTTGCAAATTCATTTTGTATGTAATGTATCACATTGGGCGGTTTAGCTAGTAAATCACGTTCGATTTTAGTATTATTTTAACTGTAAAAAACACTACAATAATCATATTATTTATAATAAATTTCCTTAACGAAACGCTAAAAGATTTTCATGCAGTTTCTTTGCAGTTTTTTTATTTTTTTTATTTCATTTTGTTCATTTTTAAGACGCGACAAAAGGAAGATTTTCATCCATCAATATTTTTTTTTTTGGTTTGTTTCATATTCTGAAAATAAGCAATTTTCAACAAAAAATTCCCAAAACATTTTAAATGGTTCGATTCGAGAAGGTATACTAAAGAATAATCTGTAGGTTAGGAATCAAATTTTTTTTTTAATTTACGTTTCGCTTTAAAGATGCCAAATTAGACTTTTCTTTATTGCGATAAAATATAAATTTAATCGAAACAAAAAAAAAAAAATTTCAAATAAATTATTCTTGCTGATGGACATGACATGTCACGATTTACACGCACGATAAAAAAAAGCAAAAATTAGGCTTATTAGACCAACTCTATGCAACATGTTTTCTATACTCAGCCCCAAAGTGCTTAGCGATTTTATAAATTAAAATAATACTAAGCCCACTCTAAAGTATTATCACAAATAACTAGGAGCCCGTAATTACAAGTAAGTTTATATTGCTCAGAAATTCGGTTCTGAACTTTTATATTCGTTTTTTTTTGATTACAAAAAGCGATTTGGATGTTTTAAATTTTCACCTTTTTTATATTATTTTTAATTTTTTAGGAAATTAAATATTTGAAAAAGTTTCCTTTTTTTTTGATCAAAGAAGCTTTTTTATGAATTTACATAATGTCTCCTAAACAATTTACTCTCATCATCAACTTATTTATAATTCTGTTGATTTTATCAACATCAATTGATTCCAACACTTTAATTGAACGTGATAATATTGATTTTACCCCTTGTACTGGAGAATTTTGTTGTGCTTCATTAGCAAAGAAAATTGCTGAGAAAAACTTTGCACATGTAGCAACAATTGCTATCGTCAATAAGAGTGGTTATAATATAACTCACTTGCCTGTTACACTTGAAGATGGACGTTTTGTTAAGCATGACGATCATGAAAATATCGACATAAACTGTGAGCCACAAACTGAACCTCTCGTAAACGATCAAACCGAAACATTTTCCAGCATTACAAGTCGTGTTTTTGGCGGAGTGAAAGGAATTGCCATTTTCACCATAAATGACGGTGGTTCAAGCACTTTCGCTTTATTCTGGAACGTTCCAACAATTGGCCCTCCTATTTACGAGATCGAAGGATTGCCTAATGAAAGATATTACAATGAAACCAAATATGGTCTTGATAATACATTATATCAAGTTACAATTCATCAATACGAACATGTTAAAAACGCTGTTGTGAATGTGTGGTTTATCATTCCCCCATATTTTTTCCCACCATTCATTATCTTGTTCGTCTCTCGCATTATAACCGTGTAACTTATTATTTCATACAAATGATTATTTTTTTGGATCATTATTTTTTTATCGTCGGTTTTAGGCTCCAAAATAAGGTTTAACTACTTTCTACATAAGAAACGAATCAAATGTTTCACGAATTGTTTCATGTATTTAAAAGGTTCGATAACATCGATTATACAATTTGAGTTTATTCGATTCATTTAGATCTCTGACGCAATGTGACTAGATAAATGATTCTTCTAAAAAAAAATAATAAATTATTTTCACCTTTACGTTATCATTAATCAACAAAAATAAAGATTTTCAATGGCGCAGCTGTTAAAATTAAATATCATATTGTTATTGAAATATGGAATATTTGCTATTATTTATTTATTTTGTCTCATAACTTGATTTTAATTAAAATGTCAAAACAATAAAAACAAATTTATTTGATGATACGTTCATTTGTGGTTAGATCCTCATGTTTTAAATCATTGTATTTATTTAAGTGAATGACGTCAAAACATGTATTATAATAGTAGTCATTTATATAAAATGATTATATTTGACTTACAAGTATGATTAATTTCAAATTTTTTATTATTAAATATGTATTTATTTTTAGAAAAAAAATAAATGCGATTTATAGTATACTGAATGGGGAATTTTATGTTCCCTTTGAATTTTATTTTTAAAATAATGTTAGTAAAACGTTTATTGATTTTTTGTAGGTATGAATCTTCGGTATTCCGGTAAATTTCATGGGGACTTTTTTTTTACAAGCTCTTTTTTTTTAATGAATTATCCGAATTTTGTAATTTTGCAAATATAAGTAGTTAATTAATTAAATTTTGTTAATATAAGAATCGGTTGAATTCATAAAAATGAATTATGTTTGTATATAATAAATACTAATAAATGCTCTAATCAATGTTACATGAATCAAACTCGAATTGGTATTTTTGTAGAATAAAAAGAGTTATTTTATTAATCGCTACTCTTCTTAGCAACAAAATAAAAACACCCTTATGTTTTTTGATGATAATAAAGAAAATGAAGTATCGAAAAAATGATATAGTGTTGTATTCAGTTCTTTCGTTTATGTATTTATAAACAATTTTAAATGTAAGCAGAAGGTTTTTAATGAATAATTATTGAATAAAAATGAAGTAATTGTGACAAGTATTTATTTAATAAATATCAAATTAATCAGTGTTGCCTCAACGTCGGCGCTCTACTATTTAACTATGTCATATATTAAACTAAGTAAAAAATTCTAGTTCATTAAAACTGCGCAAAATTACGAAACTATTACATAAAATTGAATAATAAAATACTAATAAAATCGGGAATTAAAAATTAAAAACAATAAACGAATTACAAATGCGAAGTTATAAAGTCAGCATACATATTTGGATACGTAATTGATACATTAAATATTTTTAACATTTCGCAGTTATTGCATGTCGATTTCTTATAAGTACTACTTGATAAACATTTTTATGTATGTCCACTGTCACACAAATTGATTGAACCCCAATATACTACAGTCATTGGTCACACCCCTAGGGACCAAAAAATTTTGGTGTGATTATAAAAAAGTTATGTGACTATAGAAGAGGATTTTTTATAAGTTTAATATTAACTTAGGCCTAAAAAAGGGAGGAGTGACTATAAAGGAGGTGACTATGTAGGGGTCGACTGTATCTGACTACGGCTTTGTATTTAGTTAATTTGGAATGATTTGATAATTTATTAGAAATTTCAATTTTAACATGTATACTCTTATAAACGTTACGACGATCTTACGTCGTGGTATCTCAACACATGATCCTGCTGCCGATTAGCACCTGTTTCTCTATTAAATTTACTTTTTTAATGACGGAGCTGAAAGGAAAATGTCGTTGTTATAAAATCCTAAAAGTATAATAATCATATAATACAACATGAATTTAATTGCAAACGTCAAATAACCGTTGCCGCTTTATTTTTTACCGACACAATGTTTTAACATCTTTAAATAATCAAACTTTGCAAAAAGAATGGCCAGGAGAATCATATCAAACAAAACTAAGGACAGAATTGCATACCACAGCCCAGCTTATGCTGCATATAAAGAAGGCACATATCAGATCCCTCATCCAGATACTGCGGATCTAATAAGCTACTTTGGCTACTTAAAAGGATGTAGTGTCCACCCTTGTCATGACGAATTCTTCAAGGGTACAAGAAGTGGCCACGTTTTTCCATATTTTTACAATTGTCAAACATTCTTATTGGTGCTCAAAAGTTTTAATCTTGTTAAAAATTTCTGGAGAGCTTGAATTTTTTTTTTTTTATAGGAATATTCTAAATTGATCTTACAAAATACATTGATTACATTCATCTTCCGTAATCGAGAATTGCGTAAATAGAAATTTTCAATTTCGCATCCGTTAAAATGTAAAGAATTTTTAGAAATACTTTATCTAAATTACAGATTTTAATATAAAATTCCTTATGTTTCGACGTTAATTTCAAAACTATTATAATTATCGAAAATCTGAAGCATAGGGGTATCGGTTTTTACCATTTGTTAAATTAGTTTGACTCGAAGCTACATCAGCAAAAGCAACTCGAAATTGTTGAATTATAATTTAAATAACTAATCAAATTTTCTCTGATTCTCAAGTGCTCAAGTAGTAGATTGTTAATCTGCTCAATGCATAATAAAACTTTTATAACTTTAAAAATAGACTAGCAAGCTTACCCAAAGGTCATAAAGATAAATAAATTTATTTACATAATTAAGTGTTGTTTAAATATAGAAGAAAATTTAATTTTTTAATTTTTTTTTTTTTTTTTGAATTTAAAATTCTTTTTTAATTATGTTCATTAAATTTATTTTAATTGAATTTATTTTTTTTTTTATTTAAATATTTTTATTTCTTTTATGTCTGAAAACTCAAAATAATAGATATTACTGAATAAATGTCATCAAATTTACGATTGACATTATATATATCGAATTTCTCCAAAAACATCGATGAATTTTCTTAAAAGCAATACACACCACCAACAAGCATATAATAGCGAAACTTTATTCGGAATATTATTTTTTCAGTTGTTAAGATGCTAGCTAAGTATTTATAAAAAATGATTGTAATAAAAATACTACAACTAAATAAGTTCCGATATATCTTTAAACCATCTGTATTCATTTTTTGTTTCTCCTGCTTTCTTTGTTTTGTAATATTACTTCCTATGTCACTCTCCTACTTTCTTTTCATTTTCATTATTATTTCACATTACATGTCACTCTCTACTGTCTCATCTTTGTTTAATACTCATTTCATCATCGCTTTTTCATCATCATTTTTAAATATTCATCAACATTGGGATCCTAGAACATATTGAGATATTTTATTGATCCATTTGGAAATTTCTAATGATCCTCATTTTGAGAATTCATATATTTCTGTGGCGGAACTCTAGCAGTACAAAGCATTGATCCAAAGTGTGGTTTGCTCATTGGATAAAGGCGAAGTGAGCTTATCTTGACAGAACAGAATTGATCGACATTGCGTTGAGCGCAGTAAAGTCTTACGATGCCAAATAGAATTTGTATTTCCAATATTTAATTAAAAGATTTTAAAATTTTATTTAAAGAAACTTCCGTGTCATCCGGAAACTCCATATCTTTCAACTTTCTTTGTGCTTCATCATAAATCTGTCATTTTTTCCGTGAAACATTTCTTCTATGTTTGTGCTACTTGCCGATCATCGAAATGAATAATTGATTTTCATTTGAAGTAAAAATACGAAATACGAATTGACCATATATAGGATTATAATGAAGTGGCTTAAATTTTATTTTTTTTTTTATTTTCTAAAAAAAAAATGCTTTAATTGAAATTATGACTTGTAAAAAATATAAATTGCTTTTTATTCTGATTTTAAGCTATTTATTCGTCAGTGTTGTCATTGACCCCTGCAAGGGACGTTTGGCTCATTCCTCTGTTCTTCGTTGGAAATAAACTTTTTTTTTTGGAGGGAAATAATAATTGAATTTTTCAAATGAAGTGTTAAAGGCAATGCAATTTTCAGCCCTGGGCTTTGTGTCACTTGCCGATCATTCGAAATAATCATGATCTACCAAAAGTTGCTTTTTTTTTTTTTCCAAATTTCACCTTTTCTCGCTACAAAAAAAAATAAAGAAAATGCAAATTGACAATAATTCAAATGAGTCGATAAATTTGCTTGAAGAATATATTTTAAGTAATAATATCAAACTTTATGAATACAAACTTTTTAGCAATTTTCAAGAGATAGGTAAAGGCAGTTTTGGAAAAGTCTATCGTGCAAATTGGAAAAACTCAAAACCTCTCGCGTTAAAATCTTTTAATAACTTTAACAATGCCACTGTCAAAGGACTAGTTCGAGAGGTAATAAAAATTTTCAGTCTATTTGGTCAATTTGTATAAAATCATATACCAAGCTAAAAATTAATAATCGTAATAATTTAGCTTGAACATCAACGGGAGGTTGATCATAGCAATATCATTCGCTATTTGGGTATTACATTATCATACCAAGGTATAAACAAATTAGATCAATAAGGTTAATTATAATTTTATATTGACTTTTATATTGTATTTAACTCAAATATTTTTTTTTATTTTTTCTGTAAAAAAATAAAAAATTAATTTTAGAAAATGAATTGAAAAATTATTGCTTAGTAATGGAATATGCTGATGGCGGAACGCTTAGAAACTATTTGAAGAATAATTTTGACAAGCTTTCTTTGGGAGATAAATACAATTTGTCATTTCAGCTGGCTTGTGCTGTATCGTGTTTACATGACAAAGGAATTGTACATCGTGATCTGGTAACATTACTTTAGTATTAATTTTATTTATTATGAACATTTCATTTTAGTAATTTTTTTTATATTATAGCATTCCGGCAATATATTTATCCATCAAGGCGTTATTAAACTAGCAGACATTGGTTTATCAAAAAGAGTTGAAAAAGCAACTAATCAGTTAAAAGTTTATTGTGCTATTGCTTATATTGACCCTAATAGTTTTATTAGAGAAGGAATAAATGATAGTACATCGCAGCAGTATATACTAAACGAAAAGAGTGACGTTTACAGTGTTGGCGTGCTTTTGTGGGAGCTTTCAAGTGGTTGTCCTCCTTTTCATGTTAAAGATGAAGTGGATGACATTGGTTTGGCTATAGAAATTTCACAAGGACTTAGAGAAAGCATCGTTCCCGGCACATCTGAAGATTATGTAAACATTTATACTTGTAAATATATTTTTACTTAAAATATTAGTTTTATTTTTTCGTTCAATAAATTTTTTATATGATTTTAGAGTGTTGGGATAATGAGCCAGACAATCGACCGGCCATGAACAAAGTGGTTGAGGAATTAAATGCAATTATTACAAAAACAAATATAGTTGATTGTCTTCAAATGAAAAATGATGACTCAAATATTCGATCATCTGAGCAGCAACAACTTCACTTGAATGGCGTTAATGCTTCTTCCAGTAATAACAATTCATTACACGGAGAATTATCTCGAAAGATTCAAAATTTTAATCATATGAATGCAGGAGAATTCGAATTGAATAATGAAGAATCAGTCATTATTTACGATGATACTATTGTTAGTTTAGAAATTACAGACCTTAATATGAATGACATATTAAATTTGTTAGGCGGATTGCAAAGATATCAAAAATTAACATACCTCACTTGTGATTTTACTCAAATTACCAGCTTACCAAATTTACCCAACTTCTTAAAATACTCAATTGCTCTGTTACTCCAATAACTATCCTACCAAATTTACCCAACTCCTTAAAGGAACTTAATTGTTCTAATACTTTAATAACTATCCTACCAAATTTACCCAACTCCTTAAAAATACTCAATTGCTCTATGACTCTAATAACTATCCTACCAAATTTACCCAACTCTTTAATTAAACTCTAGTGTTATGGCATTAAAATAAATAGCTTACCAAATTTACCCAATACCTTAAAATTACTCTATTGCTCTTATAATCAAATAACTATCCTACCAAATTTACCTGACTCCTTAACGGAATTTCATTGTTCTAATAAATTAATAACTATCCTACCAAATTTACCCAACTCTTTAATTAAACTCGGTGTTATGGCACAAAAATAAATAGCTTACCAAATTTACCTAACTCCTTAATGGAACTTGATTGCTCTCATACTCTAATAACTATCCTACCAAATTTATCTGACTCCTTAACAGAACTTTATTGTTCTAATACTCCAATAACTATTCTACCAAATTTACCCAACTCCATAATGGAACTTAATTGTTGTAATACTTTAATAACTATTCTACCAAATTTACCCAACTCCTTAAATTATCTCAATTGCTCTAATACTCCAATAACTATCCTACCAAATTTACCCAACTCCTTACTTAAACTCTTGTGTTATAAAACTAAATTAACTATTTTACCAAATTTACCCAACACCATAACGGAACTTGATTGCTCTTTTACTCCAATAACTATCCTACCAACTTTACCCAAATCCTTAACGGAACTCAGATGTTATAACACTAAAATAAATAGTTTATCAAATTTGCCCAACACCTTAAAAATACTCAATTGCTCTCGTACTCCAATAACTATCCTACCAAATTTATCCAACTCCTTAAAGAAACTTAATTGTTCTGATACAGAAATAACTATCCTACCAACTTTACCTAACTTCTTAATGGAATTTGATTGTTCTAATACTCTAATATCTATCCTACCAAATTTACCCAATTCCTTAAAATTTCTAAAGTATTATAACACTAAATTAAATACCCAACCACCTAAAGGAAGTGGAAACAAAGTTGTTGACGAAGTTATTAGATATTCACGAATTAATACTCATATACTTAATCAAATGGATTTTGTTTCTTATGATCAATTCAAAGATGTTCAATTTATTGCTGAAGGAGGATTTAGCAAAATCTATAGAGCTAAATGGTGGAATACACAGGAAAATTATAAAACTGTTGCCCTAAAACAACTAACGAATTCTAATAATATTTCTACTAAAGAATTAAATGAGGTATTTATTTAACTAATAATATTCTTTATTGCAATGTGACATACTTATATTTGCATCAAAATTATAGCTTTGGAGGTATCTGGACCTTAATAATGGAATTTTTACACCTAAATATATTAATAAATATTATGGAATTACTCTCGATCCTATTTCTAAAGATTATATGATAATAATGAAATATTGTGAAGCAGGTGATTTAAGACGTTATTTAACAACACATTTTTATGATCTTAAGTGGTGGGAAAAGTTAGATTTATTAAGAAAAATTATTGAAGGTCTTGTATATATTCATCATAAAGGAATTATTCATCGGGATTTTCATAGTGGGAATATTCTTTGTCATGGACATCGTCAAATTATAATAGGTGATTTAGGAATTAGCAAATCATTAAATGAATTAACAGATAATAATGATAATAATAATGATAAAATTTATGGTATTATTCCTTATATTACTCCAGAAATCTTTCATGGACAAAATTATACTACTGCTTCAGACATCTATGGCCTTGGCATGATTATGTGGGAGTTAATGACATGTAGAAGACCCTTTTGGGATCAAGATCATGATACAGAACTTATTCTTAGAATATGTGATGATATACGTCCTCCAATTGTTACAAATGCACCTGAAGGTTATATCGAATTAATGAAAAAATGTTGGCATCCTGATCCAAATAAAAGGCCAACAGCTAATTATTTGAAAAAAAGAGTTGTTGATATGAAATCTTGTGAAGATTTTAGTGAAAATAAAACAAAAATCGTATTATCAGCAGATATTGGACCTATAGCTATAAATCATTCAGGAGCAGTATATAAAAGTAGATCATTAAGCAAATCTGCAATATTCTCAAGAAGTCAATCCGTTACAAAATTCGGTGATTATTTTTATTTTCACTTTTTTATTTTGATTAAATAAAATTTAAATCGTCCTATGGTACATATTTATATAAATGATCATTTTTTAACTTTTTAATTTTTATTAATTACTATACTTTTTTTGGAAAATAAAAGATAAAAGAAAGGTTATGGATGAATTAATTGATGATAACAATGATAATACAAAAAATAGAGTATCTGATAATGGTAAATTTTTACTTGCTTTATTAAATTAGACTTATGCGGATCTCTTTATAAATCAATGATGAGAAAAATAAATATGTGCTCCTAGAATATATTTTAATCTATAATTAAAAACTATTCTGTAATTGTTAGATTATGTGACAAAAGAATTGAAAATAGATATTAATGCGAATATTGTAAATATTAATGAATCTAATGAAGGTAATGTGATTATGTAAATTTTCATATTAATTTTATTTTATAACTAATCTGCTTATTTTTAGAATATTTAACCAAGGAAATTGATCTTGATATTAATACTTCGGGATTTATGTTGATGGGATGTAATACTTTGCATCAAAAATTTTCCTGAAGCAGCCTAAATTATACTACCTATATTTTTCATAAACAAGATATAAACCAAACATAATGGTGAAAAATACGGAATTGAAGTCGTGTTACTTTCCTCTTCCTTACTTCATATCATTGGTCAATTATTCGAAATTTTAACGAATGT